TCTTCAGCTCAAGGCTAGCACTCTACCACTTGAGCCACAGCGCCACTTCCAGCTTTTTGCTTATGTGGTGCTGAGGAATCGAACCCAGGGCCTCATGCATGCAAAGCAAGCACTCTACCACTGAGCCACCTTCCCAACCCTCAAGCCTTCTTTACTTTACTCTGGCTCCAGGACAGAGTTAACCCTGGGTCTCCAGACCCACTTCATTTCCAGGAGGGGATCAGTGTTCCTTTCTTTGTTGAACCATGGTCCTCTGTGTGTCTGTGGGTCCTCAAATGGGGTGACTGATTGGAGATTTGGTTTTAACTTAATACCTGGGACATAATGCAGTAATATTTTCATTAGGAAATGTGTTTTGACTTCCCTGTGGATTAATAACAGTATATTTCACTAGCTATTTTGAGTCATTTGGAATGACTGTGCAAGAGGGAAAAAAAGAGCGATAGAAATTTTTTATTTTTTTGGTCGGTTGTGGGGCTTGAACTCTGGGCTTGGGCACTGTCCCTGCGCTCTTCAGCTCAAGGTGAGCATTCTACCACTTGAGCCACAGTGCCACTTCCAGTTTTCTAGTGGTTTTATTGGAGATGAACCATGATCCTCAGATCTCAGCTCCTGAGTAGCTAGGATTACAGGCGTGAGCCACCAGCACCCAGCTGAGGGGTAGAAATTTGTTTTGAATTCCTAAATTGATTCTTTCCTACCTTGATTCTTTGTCTATTTATTGTCTAAGACATATACAGTAAGACTACATTATTTTACAACAGATTGAACTGAAAAAGAGATACTCAGGAAAAGAATGTAAGAATAATATCTAAACGCATGCTTCATTCATTCACATCCAGTATTTCCAAAGTCATAACAACTTAATGAAATAAACAAGACAAGGATTATCTGCTCATTTTGCACATAAGGAAGAGAGGCACAGGAAAGGGAAATGACTTGCTCTGGGCTGCTGCTCGGTGGAGCCTACACCTCATCCAGTGTTCTCTCCATACCAGGCCACCTCCCTTTGTCAAAAAGGAAACTCTCCAGGCACAGCCTAGCATGACATTTTCTCCAGTACAGTCATCTGGTGACCATAAAAAAAGGAATTTAGGCACTTGCTGGAAGATAGAACCATAGAAACAAATGACTGCTGGACGGGAGCCTGTGCATGTCAGGCTGGGCCTGAGGAGGTCCCTGCCAGAGGACCAGAACACAGGGCCAGCCATTTCCCTGCTCACACCTGAGGGCAGTGTGATAAAGGAGAATCTGCCTGCAGTTGCAGTCCAACCAGATAAAACTTTAGGCGGGAAGTCAAGTGACAAGTGAACTTCAGTGTGGGTGTGGGTGGTGGTGGTGGTGTGTGTGTTTAAGTGTTAGTTGTTTTTGATATTTTTTTAAAAGCTTTTAGGCTGCTTGTGGAAGTCAGAGCAAATACCAGGAAGGTACTACAGCAAGATGGACTTAGGAAAGGACCAATCTCATCCAAAGCTACAGCAGACATCGGACACTCATCCAATAAAGGCCTCTGAACCAGGTAATGAAAGAGATGGCAAGAGAGGGTAGCTAGCTATGGGGAAGACTGAGGACTATAGTGATTTTTCTCTTTGATGGGTCTGGTATAATTGAATACGTTCATATACCCTTAAGTGGGAAGAAATGGGGTATATTTAACTTCTTGTTAAATATAGGTACCTTTATAGCACTGTGACTGTCATAAGTTAGAGAAATACAAGGTAGTGATACATTATTAATAAGAAATTCACTTAAATGAGAGATAATGAAAATGCCCAGGTGGTTGTGGTAAAACAACTCTACCCCAACATCTTCTTTTACAGGAGCATTAATTTGGTGTAACTTTTATAAAGAGATCTGACAGTAGGTGGCAAGAACTAAAACAGTACTTACTTTTTGGACTCCTGATCTCAGTCTTTAGATCTGTCCTAAAGTAGCACTTCCCAAAATATTTTGTGCAGACTTAGAGATACCTTACGACAATGTTTTCAAACTTCTTTTTTTTGATGGATCAGGATGGAGATCATTGATCCATTTCTGATAGAGCTATGGCTCTGATGAATCTGTACATTTTTTTTCTTTAAAAAATTAAAAACATAAAATTAAATACATAGGATTACAAAGGAAGCAGTTATATTAGGACAGTTGTCAAATATTTTGGGGGGAGGTCCAGTCGTGGGGCTTGAACTCTGGGTCTGGGTACTGTCCCTCAGCTCTTCAGCCCAAGGCTAGCGCTCTACCACTTGAGCCACAGTGCAACTTCCGGCTTTTTTCTTTTTGCTTATGTGGTACTGAGGAATCGAACCCAGGGCCTCATGCATGCAAGACAAGCGCTCTACCACTGAGCCACCTTCCCAGACCCAGTTTTCAAATGTTTTTAAATTGTGACATATTACTATATGTGTTTACTTGTAGCTTTGATAATGAGATGCTACATTGATAGATCTAATAATACCAATCAAGCAAATCATATTACAAATGTTATTTTAGGGGATCTACAATACTTACTAGTGATAAAGTCACTCAGTGCTAAAATGACTGTGGCTAGTTACCAATGCTCAAAACTGAATAAAAATGCTCATTGTAATTAGAGGTTGGTAAATTTTTTCACCACAAGAACCCTTGTCTTGGCCAGGTACCAGTAGCTCATGCCTGTAATTCTAGCTACTCAGGAGGCTGAGATCTGAGGATCACAGTTCAAAACCAGCCCAGGCTTTGTTGTATTTGTTTTTTTTTTTTGAAGATAAAACAAAAATAAAAAATCAAAACAAAACTAGAAGTGGAGCTATGGCTCAAGTGGTAGAGCTCTAATCTTGGACATAAAGAGACTCAGGGACAGTACCCAGGCCCTGAGTTCAAGCCCCAGGACTAGGGGGGAAAAAAAAGAAGAAGAACCCTTGTCTTAAGAACAGAAGGTGCTGTGGTCTAGGGGCACATTCAGTTTTTTGGAAGTCCCAGTTTAGCTCTGCATCACTCCACAGGTTTTGGGATCCATTAACTTTTGTCAAACATAAATGGCAATGAAACTTTGATATACTTAACATTCAAAAGAACTTTAAGAAACACCACATCTTAGCTGTGTACAGTGGCTTAAATCTATAATCCTAGCTATATGGAAGGTGGAGATTGGGGATTGCAGTTTGAGGCAAGCTAGGCATAAAAGTTTGAGAAATTCCCTATCAACCAATGCCTTGGCCAGATGGAGTAAACTTGTCATTCCAGCCACAGGTAAAGTACAATGGCTGGGCTCAGTGGCCCTTACCTGTCATCTCAGCAACAAATAGGAGAATCAAAGTCCAGGCCAGCCAGAGAATAAAGTCATAGCTTATTTTGAAAATTAACAACAAAAAGGGGTTGGTGTAGTGGCTTAAGGGGTAGAGTGCCTGCCTAATAAGCACAAGGCCCTTGGTTCAAATCCCAGCACCAAACCCCACATATATGTTTCTCTGTTTTGTTTCTTACCAGCTTGAATTTGCTTACTAATACCTTGATATACAAGGCAGAAAAATAACTGGTAACAACCTAAATGTTCAATACAAGTGCATAGATCAAGTACTATGTCATTATTTAAATTATAGTCATGAAGAGTATATCATGGAAAATATATCTGACATAATGTTAGGGTGAAAAAAATACAATTGTGGTATGCTATCATTACAACTTTGTGTAATTTAGGGCCTGGGTGAAAATGAAAAATAAAATGAAATGAAAATGAAATGAAATATTAAGGGTGACAGAATATAAATTATTTTTATTTTTTAATTTTTTTTTGGTCTGGTTGTGGGGCCTGAACTCTGGGCCTGGGCGCTGTCCCTCAGCTCTTTAGCTCAAGGCTAGCGCTCTACCACTTGAGCCACAGCACCACTTCCGGCTTTTTTCTTTTTGCTTATGTGGTGCTGAGGAATCGAACCCAGGGCCTCGAGCATGCAAGGCAAGCGCTCTACCACTGAGACACTTTCCCAGCCCCATAAATTATTTTTATTTGTACATGTAAAAAATAAATCAAGTTGATAGCATCACTGACACATAGCTACCATGACTGAATAGGTCTCTAATTTGATCTTTTCCACTCAAAAATAAAGGCTGGAGGGGGGTTCAAGTGGTAGAACAAAGACCTTGAGTTCAAACCCTACTACCAAACCAAACAAACAAAGAAAAAAAACAAATGTCAGGGGCTGGGAAGGTGGCTCAGTGATAGAACGCTTGCCTTGCATGCCTGAGGCCCTGGGTTCGATTCCTCAGCACCACATAAACAAAAAGAAAAAAGCCGGAAGTGGCACTGTGGCTCTAGTGGTAGAGCACTAGCCTTGAGCTGAAGAGCTGAGGGACAGTGCCCAGGCCCAGAGTTCAGGCCCCACGGCCGGACCCCCAAAAAAACCCAAATGTCAACACCACCACTAAAAAACCAGCTGAATGTTGTTGGCTCACCTGTACTCTTAGCTACACTGGAGGCTGAGATCTGAGGATTGCAATTCAAAGCCAGGGCTAACAGGAAAGTCTGTGAAGCTGTTATCTCCAATTAATCACTAAAAAGCTGAAAGTTGAGCTATGTATGGCTCTAGCAGTAGAGTGCTAGCCATGAACAAAAAAAACTCAGGGACAGCAGTCAAGCCCCTAGACCAGGCAAACACACACACACACACACTCACACACAGAGAGAGAGAGAGAGAAACACCTGAGCCAAATGTACAAATGTAGTGGTACAAGGCTGTAATTCCAGGAGGCTGAGTCAAGGAGAATTGCAAGTTTGAAACCACTTTAGTATTCCATAATACCTTGTCTCAAAAGAAAGAAAGAAAGAAAAAGAAAGAAATTTCTGAATGTCAGCTCCATGTTCTCTGAGGCACATAGATAACTAAGATAGGAGGTTTTTGTTGTTGTTGTTGTTTTTTGTTGGTGGTGGTGGTCATAGAGCTTGAACTCAGGGCCTGGGCACTGTCTCTGAGCTTTTTCACTCAAGTCTAGTGCTCTACACTTTGAGCCACAAAGCTACTTCTGGTTTTCTGGTAGTTAATGGGAGATATGAGTCTAAGACTTTCTTGCCTGGGATGGTTTCAAACCATGATTCTCAGATCTCAGTTTCCTGAATAGCTAAGATTACAGGCATGAGCCACTGCTGCCTGGATTCAGATATGATTTTTGTCCCCAAATCCTAGAAGCAAGCTGAGCACCAGTGGTTCACATCTGTAATCCTAGCTGCTCAGGAGGCAGAAATCTGAGGATCACAAGTCATCGCCAGCCAGGGCAGGAAATTCCATGACACTCTTATCTCAAATAAATTACCAAAACACCAGAAATAGAGCTATGGGGCTCAAGTGATAGAGTACTATCCTTGAGCAAAATAGTTCAGGGACAGAACCCCAGGTCCTGAGTTCAAGCCCCTGGACAGGCATGCATGCGCATGAACTCTCACATGCGACGCGCATGCGCACACACACATATATATATATACACACACACACACACACACACAAAACCAGTATAGGGAGTCTACTACATTGCAGTAGGACTCTTGCTGACAGATACCACAAGCTATCACTCTCTCTAGTAACTTCCATTTTTCACCCTGCAGAAATCATTGGAACTTGGAGTTTGCGAAACAGAGAGCAACTCAGGAAAAGAAAAGCTGAAGCACAAGAGAAACAGACCTCACAATGGCTCCTAGGGTACAGTATCATCCCAAAGCAAAGGGCAGATTATCAACCAGACTGTAAACCATGTGCTATGAGTCCCCCCCAAAAGGGAAGGCAGCATCCAATGGGTTAACTCTCTTACCTTTGTGACACAGTAAAGTTGGTCTCTTAAGTAAAGCACTGGGCAACTGATTTGTGCTGAAGAGAAGCCTGGTGTGCAGTTTCATATAAATATACAAGCATCTGGTTAGAGTGGGGAAAACTAGGGACAAGCTTTCTGTGGGTAAAGTCCTTGCTGAATGAGTGTGACCAACTCTCCTCAAAGTAAACCAAAACATTGTTGTAGTTGTTGTTTAAATTGTGAAAATACTGTATAGAGGGGTTACAATTACTTGGGCAAGATAATGAGTACATTTCTTTCTTTTCTTTTTTTTGGGGGGGGGGGTCTGGTCCTGGGGCCTGAACTCAGGGCCTGGGTGCTGTCCCTCAGCTCTTCAGCTCAAGGCTAGCGCTCTACCATTGAGCCACAGCGCCACTTCCAGCTTTTTTCTTTTTTGCTTATGTGGGCCTCATGCATGCAAAGCAAGCACTCTACCACTGAGCCACCTTCCCAGCCCCGAGTACATTTCTTATCAAGCATTGTTGCCTCCTCCTTTGTTTCTCCTTCCCATCCCTTTCCATCTCCCACCCCTCCCACCCCCCTGTTTTTTTTTTTTTTTTGTCGGTTGTTGGGCTTGAACTCTGGGCCTTAGTGCTGTCCCTCAACTCTTAAGCTCAAGGAGGCTAGCACTCTACCACTT